ATTATATTTCCTATCTTTCCTACTATATATAAGTTTTTGGTGCCTCATGAGTTCCTGCAAATCCCTGCAAAAAATTTAGACTGCTTTTGTGGGTTGTTTGTTGGGTTATTTTCCTCCATTATTGGATGCACAGAGTGTTTTGGACAATCCTCTTTGAAACATGCGGTTGAGTCATGGTTTTGTCACATCCTGCAGGTATTTGAGGTGTGCCTGCCTGTTCATAATATTAGCACATTCAGTTTTTCTCTTTAACAAATTTTGTGAAATAATGACAAAATGTAATACTCAGTTACAGGAAAATGTCACACCTAGAAGCCTGGAATGTTTACCTGAAATGCATGTGATGACTTAAGGCTTTAGGAATAGACCTGCTGGGTCATCTCATGTTAATGCATAGAAACCGGTGTGTACAGAGGTCATCTTGTGGCTGTTTCACATGTGAAAGTAGAGGAACCCCTCTAAATTGCAGGCCTCTTTTGTTGGAGGTGAATCAGACTTTCATGTAACATTCTGCCCACACTTAGCCCTGGTACAATGCTAGCTATTTGCTTAAAACCTTAAAGAAAAACTTTTTTTTTTTTTTTTTTTGGCCACTTGCAAGACCCCATCTGCAAAATAACAAGAGCAAGACTGGAGTTGTGGCTAAAGTAGTAAAGCACCTTCTTTGCAAACACAAAGCACTGAGTATTGAGGAATGAACTTGGGACCTCTTGATTGCTGGGCACTTAAGTATTCTACTACTTGAGCCACACCCAGTCTTTTGCTTTTAGTTTATTTTGCAGATAGGGTCTTTTTTTATTCTCCCAGGCTGGCCTGAGACCATGATCCTCCTACCTCTGCCTCCTGAGTAGCTAAGATTTCAGGAGTGCACCACCATTCCCTGTTTGTTTTTGATACAGAGTCTCACTGAGTTTTGGCTGACTGGCCTTGAACTTCAATCCTCCTGTCTCTACCTCCTCAGTAGCTGTGTGCCACTATTCCCAGAAAAAGTGTGTGTGTGTGTGTATGTGCATACACACACACACTTTTTTTTTTTTTCCAGTAGTACTGGAGTTTGAGCCCAGAGCCTCACGGTTATTAGGCAGGCACTCTACCACTTGAGCCATGCCCCGTCCGTCCCTGGCAGATTTTTTTTTTTTTTTTTTTTTTGCAGTACTTGGTTTAAACTTAGGGCCTTACACTTGCTACATAGGCGCTCTCTCACTGCCAGCCCCCAGAAAAATCTTTAAATTTGTTAGTTTTTCTCAAATTAGATGTGAAAGCTGAGGTTATAAGCTATTTGCTATATGTAATTTACACTGCAATGAATAAAAGCCAAAAAAAAGAAAAAGGAAGAAAAAAGAACAAACTCTTAATGTCACCAGTTTGTCATTGGAGTCGGACACATTGTATGAGTCCCATTTAGGAGGACAGCACCCTGTTGAGTCAGCAGCCAAGAACAGAAAACCTGTCTTCCTAGTTAAGATTCTGTCAAACGAATGCTAACAGTTAGAGGGAAATGAGAAACCTTGTACCTGAATCTGTTCCTCTGCAGAGTCTGGTTTAGATAAGGCATCCTTGAGTCTTGTGGAGGGATGGTGGATGGTGCTGGCTGCTGGTCAAGCTCCTCTCCAGCAGTTAAATCAGTCAGGTTGCATTCACTCATCCATGTGGAACAGCTGTTAGTTCACAATACTGTATTTTCTCCTCACCCCTACTCAGGAGGCTTCTTGGGGACTGGCTTCCCCAGGAAGGTCCTGCAACTGACAGCCGTGTAGGGCATGCTACTGATAGAGCAGAGGCCACCCATGCCATTGTCCTCTGCTTCTTCCTGAAGGAGCTTTCTTGTCGTAAGGTGGCACCCAAGTGAGCAGGAAAGAGTAACAGCTTGAATTATGCTCCTGCCCTGGCTGCCTTGAGGGGCTTTGTGTCCTCCTTCTAGGCATCTCCTCTGGTGGCTGGGGCTACTGGCAGCTGACTTTCTGGGAAGTCTGTTTACACTGCCTTCTATTAGCAGGGTAATGGAGAGGAACCTGAAAAGCAGGTTTAGTTTGTGTGCAGTATTTTGATGGAGGAAAGGTGACAGCAATGGGCTGGGCATCACCAGTTAGGGCTTGTGCCTAGAAACCATGGGAGTGACTACTTTAGCCACTGGGCTTTTCTCACACTCTTGCATTTGGGCCTGTTATCAAAGCAGTAGATGGTGCCTTGGACCCCTGGGAACACAGGCATGTGCCAAGGCAGGACCTGCTGACCACTGTCTCTCTTTGTGGACAACCAGGTGGACCTAGATGCTTGTAAGATATGTCTTAATCCTGAGACTTGGGGTTCATCTCATCCTGGTTTCTCCACTAAATTTGTGTGAAAACCACCCATGGAGAGGGACTGTGACCACTGTGATCCTCACCTCCCCTTTGTCTGTGGGATTGCAAGGCAGGCTGGGCCTCAGCACATTCAGCTGTGGGTTATCCTTTACCAGACCAGTTGTAAAAAGGCTCCTACAGACATGTGTGTCATGGGCAGTGCTGTGGGAATCTGTGGGAGTGCAGATGCCCTTTCCCCTCAGTGCCACATGTTTGTGTCAGTTTTTCATGTAGCACTTCTGTGTAAGTAGCTATCCCGCCACCCCACTGCCTTAGTCGCCCCAGGCACAGCCTACCCACCACTAGTGGATGCCTCATGTTTCTTCATTAATATCCACTTGAAATATGTTGATTTGGAAAGGAAGGATGTCCTGCACAGGTTCTACCTCCACTTCCCAGTGTCCAGCAATGAGAGTAACAGTGTTAGTGCTGTGTGGACCTTGTTGATTGCCGAGCAGATCACTGTCTGCTTCTGTGAGAAATACTCTGTCTCTCTCCAGTTCATCCTTGGGTTTTTACATGAACCTACTAGCCTTTCAGATTCCCCATCATCACCAGATCTCATGACAGAAACAGGCAGGTGGAATGCTTCCTGTTCTGGGGCATCCATCCTGTTCCAGTCTGCACTGCACATGTAGTAGCTGTGCTCCCCAACCCCCAAGTCTCCTTGGGCTCCCTTCCTCTTGCCTGGGCCCTGGATCTTTATGGTTGCTGTGTATAAAAGGTAAAGTGGGAGGCCTTTTGATGCCGAAATTATCATTATTTCCTTACTTCTAGTTGGTAGGAATTAAAGGTTGAAAATCATATGCTATAGAAGCATTGTCTGGGCATCTTCCACCCACTGGCGCTGTTAGTATCCATAGAGTGCTTTGGCAGCAGTATTCAGCCTTTAGCTGTATGCTTCTGTCTAGAATGTGTAAGAATCTACTCCCTATAGTGTCTTTCATCTCACTATGTAGCTGAAGCTGGCCTCAAACTCACCATCCTCTTGCCTTAGCCTCCTTGGTGCTGGGATTACAGTTGTTTCCTTTTTTATCCATATTTTTCTTCTGCCTTTTTTTTTTTTTTAAACAGGTCTGGGGGTTTTAACTCAAGACCTCACATTCGCTAGGCAGGCTCTACCATTTGAGCCATTCTGCCAGCCCTATTTTGTGTTGGGTATTTTTGAGACAGTGTCTCTCGAACTGTTTGCCCAGGCTGTCCTCAAACCTCAATCCTCCTGATCTCTGCCTCCCAAGTAGCTAGGATTACAGGTGTGAGCCACCAGTACCCAGCCCTGCCAACATTCTTAATAGCTTGGCTGTCCCCAGGAAAGGGACTGTGATAACAAAGTCTGCTTAAACTTCAGACATGATACTGTGTAAAACCAAAAAAAACAGAGTCCAGAGGGCACTGGGGCCACCATGATGGGGCAGGCTCCAGGCCATGTCTGGGACAGTGGTGGCATCAGATCAACAGGGCAGCTGGTAGAATGGCTTAAGTGGTAGAGCACTTGCCTAACAAGTTTGAGGCCCAGAGTTCAAACCCCAATACCACCACCACAAAAAAAAAAAAAAAGGCATTTGGACCTGCCACACTGAGCAAAACAGGAATGCATAGCTCCCATGGGTACCAAGAAATAGAGAGGTGGTTTCCCTGTGGTGGGTGCTTGACAGCAGCCGGAAGAGTTGACCCAGTTAGAAAGTCACTATCTGACAGTCATCCAAGTCATGCAGGCAGAAACATTAGGGGTACTGAAACCAGAGGAGGAGAGATGGTGAGGAGCTGGATCTCCCACAAAAGGCCCTTTGGCACACAGTCACTGGAGGAGGGTATACAATGTGGAGCCTCAGGCCTGGAAGGTGTCATACAGAGGCTACTGCATGGTGCAGTTAGCGTGACTGACTCATGTACCTAGTTCACACACATAAGGGTGGTCTGAATGCACCCCCTAGATTCATGTATGGAAAAGTGAATCCCATTGGAACAGTGTTTGGGTCACAAGGCTCCATCCCTCATTAGTGGATCAGTGCCACCATAAACTATCTCCTCCTGCATGTGAAGACACAGTATTCCTCCCCTCTAGAAGACGCAGCACAAGGCCCCCATCTCAGAGCCATTCAACCTGATTGTACCTGGTCATAAAAAGTCACCTGATCTGTGGTGTTCTGTTATGGCAGCATGGAAATTTCACCTCCCTGTTTTGTTCACCTTCTTGTGAATTAGTTAGCTGTCTCTGTTAGCACATAGACACATCTTTTTTTGAAGGCTGCATGGCCTTCCATTGTTTGCTTTTACTATCAGGTGCTAACCATCTCTAAATTTCCAGCAGTCAACATTTGAGAAAGTGATAAAGTCCCTATTTGGATTAAATAAAACTAAAAAATAAAAGTGCTCACCAGATGGTGAGCAAGTGTAGCTGTGCTCAGGCACCCTGCAGCCTAACAGCAACAGGGTAGATGAACTTTGGAGACACTCTGCTCCCCTGGCCAGCCATGTAGCCCTGGGGACCCTAGGCAGTCAAGTGGGCAGGTCTGTCTCCTGGGAACTGAGATTGCATGTATCCCCACTGCAGGAAAAGGGATGGGAGGAGACTTGTGGTCTCTACTAGGAGGATGGGCTCTGACTAGCAACAGGGCTCATACTGGCTGCACAAGTCCTGAACACCTTGTTTTCCAGGTATCTGGCCAGTGTCGTTTCCACCCATCTACCAGCATGGGGAATATCTTTGCAAACCTCTTCAAGGGCCTTTTTGGCAAAAAAGAAATGCGCATCCTCATGGTGGGTCTTGATGCCGCAGGAAAGACAACAATTCTGTACAAACTGAAGCTGGGTGAAATCGTGACCACTATTCCCACCATAGGTGAGAAACCAAGCTGAGGCCACAACAGGGGTGGGGGCTGATCCTGGGGCTTCTGGGTGCAGAGGGCCCTCAGCTACATACAACCCTGCCCTCAGGTTTCAACGTGGAGACTGTTGAGTACAAGAACATCAGCTTCACTGTGTGGGACGTGGGTGGCCAAGACAAGATCCGACCGCTGTGGCGCCACTACTTCCAGAACACCCAAGGTGAGGTGCCAGCTTCTTGGTCAAGTCCCATGGCCTTGCTGGCTCCATGACATGAGGAAACATTACAGCATCATGGCCAGAAGAGCCAAACCAGGGCCAGGAGGACGAGCTGCAACCCTTAGGATTGGGTCTGTGGCCTGTAGGTTGGTTGGGTGGGGAGTGTTCAGCATGTGCAGTGATGTGGCTGCGTTGCAGGCTTGATCTTCGTGGTGGACAGCAATGACAGAGAGCGTGTGAATGAGGCCCGTGAGGAGCTCATGCGGATGCTGGCTGAGGATGAGCTCCGGGATGCTGTCCTCCTGGTGTTTGCCAACAAGCAGGTAGGTGTCACCAAGGTTCTCTCCAAGGGCACCCATGTTAGGGAGGGAAGAGGGCGGGTATCAGACCCCATGGCCCTTGCCCTGTCCTTGGGACAGGCTGCTGGTGGCCCTGCTGCTGATGCATTCTTCCCCTCAGGACCTTCCCAATGCCATGAACGCTGCTGAAATCACAGACAAGCTGGGGCTGCACTCTCTACGCCACAGGAACTGGTACATTCAGGCCACCTGTGCCACCAGTGGGGACGGGCTCTATGAAGGACTGGACTGGCTGTCCAATCAGCTCCGGAACCAGAAGTGAACCAGAACTCCCCCTCCCCCTCACTTCCTCCTCTCCGCCCTCCGCTTTCCTCTCATGTGGCAAACGTGCGACTCTGTGGTCCTGAGTGCCAGAAGCTGTCTCCATGGGTTGGTCACAGTGTGCATCGCATCATGCTGTACATGTGCAGACGCAGCCTGCAGCCAGGTTTTTATTTAATGTAAATAGTTTCTGTTTCCACTGAGGCAGTTTCTGGTACTCCTATGCAATATTACTCAGCTTTTTTTATTGTAAAGAGAATCAACTCACTGTCAGTACTGAGAAGGGATTTGGGTGTTTGGGCACCTGGTCTCCAGGAGCCACTGAGCTATAGATCAGTGTCAGGATCCATTTGGTGGCTGGTTTTTAACCCAAACTCAGTGCATTTTTTAAAATAGTTAAAAATACAAGATAAGCAGAACACTTGAACACACAGAAGGGAGACTATGCCTAGTGTAGGTTTTGCAGTAACCGCCTGAATGCTAGTCCATCAAATCAGCTGTTCCTTATGGAATGGGAGATACGGTGATGAACAAACCATTCGCTGCATGGACACAGTAGAGCCCCTGTGACTCGCCTGTCTTTGGGTCACCTGCATTCCATAGCGTCGTGCTTGTACTCGTGCTCACGTGGTCACCTAGGGGCGGGTAGGGGCCATCATGGGGCTGCAGGGCACAGCCTCATCCTTGGTGAGTGTGTGGCCAAGCGGCAGCCTGTGTTCCTAGCTCGCTCTTGCGCTTACTCTAAGCGCTGGCAGGAGGCCTGGGTCTCACCAGCAGAAGCGTGTGCAAGCTGGGAGGGTCAGTCCATTCCAGACCCAAAGCCCTGGAGCACCCCCATCTCCATGTGTGAAATAGCTTCCTCCCTCAGCCTGCAAGGGTCCGATTTGCCATCGAAAACGACGACCTCTACTTTTTTCTTTTGTATTTTGATAAACACTGAAGAAGTTGGAGCTGTTAAATTTATCTTGGGGAAACCTCAGAACTGGTTTATTTGGTGTCGTGGAACCTCTTACTGCTTTCAATACACGATTAGTAATCAACTGTTTTGTATACTTGTTTTCAGTTTTCATTTCAACAAGCACTGTAATTATAGCTATTAGAATAAAGTCTCAACTATTTCATGGGCTTGTCAGTGGTTTAGTGTCGCTGCCAAGAGGCTGCCAACTAAAAAGGGGAAAAACGGCCAGGGCTTTTCACCGTAGACAGCATATGGCCTTGAACCCTGGATACTTTCTCTAGGTCAAGCCTCAGTGTGCATGTGTGTATGAGGAAACCTGATAACATGGGGTGCTTTGTGTCAGCTGAGGTATGCCTCCCTCACAAACTAGCAATTGGTTGGGGCACATGTCCCTGGATCACAGTGGCCAATAGCAGGTCCTAAGTCTGTCCTCTCTGCTGTAGGTGGAACCTGGTAAGATATGTTTGGCCCTTGCCCTGGCTAGGTGGACTGACTCTTCATCCCCTGAGACAGCATCTTAAGTAGGTAAGGGCAGTCTCCACTCAGGCATTCATATACAGGGTAAAGGTTGGTATATAAGCCACAACCCAGATCACAGAGGACACTTTGGGTCTGCCCTGGGCCATACCCAGCATTTGCAGTTTTAGATTCAGAAGCAAAAGAACAGTACACCTATGAAATCCAGCATGGGTTCTGCTGTTTGTATTCTCATACCTATGGGCACAAGGTTTTTACTTCTGGCCCACTGCCCATATAGGAGCTACCTGGACCCCAGCCAAGGCTGCCCTTCCAGGCTTAACCTCATTGACCACTTGCCTGGTTGTAAGACTGCCCCAGGACAGGGCTTTCATCACCCTATACCCTGAGGTGAGTACTGGATGAGCCCTGCCCTGTCCACACAATGTGAGGACAATAGACAAAAAACAATAGAAAGTCACAGGCAGTACCACACTACAAGCGTGGGGGGGACACACCATGGAACCTGGGCTGCTTTCTACACTAACCTGCCATTCAGATGATGCACTCTACTTTTAAAATACTTTATTCAAGTACAAAATGAGTTGATAAAAAAGTAACCATACTTGGTCACAGTTAAGCATGGAGTACCTAGACTGATGCAGCAGACAACCGAGTCTTGGCTCTGCAGTCCCCCTTCACAGAAACCTAGAGAGGTTACCACAAAGCAGCCCTCCTCCCCAGTGGCCAGTCAGCTTCCAAGGTCCAGTAGGCACAGCTCAGTCACTCAAGGGACAGCTACCTGCCTTACCAAGATGGGTTTCCCTGGGTGGGCCCACAGCTGACCCAAGTTGGGAAGTGGCAGCCATAGCCCAATTCTTACAGAGCCTAGTGGTGAGCAAGCAGGGTCCCAGCTCAGGGTAGCCAGGGATCTGGCATCTTATCAGTCCAGTAGTCTCAGTCATCAGAGCTATCTGTCCTGTCGTCTGTGGGATGGGGTCCTTCCACTGTCTCTGCTATGTCCCCATTTCCTCCTTTTATAGCAGGGGGAGGCGGAGGAGTCAGAATCATGCCGCTGGTGCCCAGGCCTTAGGAGACAAGAACAGCCAGACATTTAGAGCAAGAACCCTAGGCTAGGTAGTACTTCACTCTGCTCAATCATGCTCCAGGAGCCCCCAGCCCTCACTAAACACTGCCTGAGTGCCCAATCAGGCCTGACCAGGGCTCCCCAAGATAGAGCTGGGCCTGGGCCTACCGAGCAGGAGAAGGAGAGGAGGAAGTGGCTTCAGCCTCCTTCTTGTGTTCTTTGTCTTTCTTCTTCTTATGTTTCTTATGTTTCTTCTTTTTCTTCTTCTTCTCTTTCTTGCTTCTCTTGTGGCTTTCAATGCTGCAAGAGGGAATACAGAAAGGGCCTCAACTCCTAGGGGACAGGAATCAGCCAGCTGAGAGTGATTGAGGAGTACCCACTAGGGTAAGGGCACTCGTAACAACCAGCACCCATATGGGCTTATAACTCTTAAGCTCATTAGTAAATGAGCTTAATGTTGGCTCTTCATCCAGTGAACCAGTCAGTCCAGTGTGGAATATCCCCATCAAGGCAGAAAGCGCTGCAGGACAGTGCAGAGCTGGGCCTGTTACCACCTCTTAACTGCTCCACCTCCCAACCATCTGGGCAGCATCCCAGTGACAAACTCCCACCTGCATCCATCACCCCACTTGGTCCCCCACGGTGGCTAATGTGACCCCATGCCAATCCCAGGCTCCTTGGGCCACTGAGCAAGAAGGAAGGCACCTCCAGCCTGAAGGCCAAGGCCCACTCACCCCAGTAAAGCTCAGAGGGCTATACTGCCTCCCCATTTCCGGCCCACTGGCCCGGGCTCCGAGCCTCTCCTGTGTGCCTCCTCCAGCACTATCCCATACGGTACCAACAAAAGACTCCCAAGACAACAACTTACCCATGTTCCGCCTTGTCCTCAGCGTGTGGCTTCCTCTTGGCCGCAGCTGGAGAGGTGCCCTGGCTGCTGCTGTCCACGCGGTGGTGCTGCACGAGAAGGCGCGCAGGGCGCTCCAGGGAGTCCCGCCCCGGGTACCACAGCTCAACTCCCTCCCACCCCCGCCTTTCCCCGCCCCCCGAGGTCCCAGTGCAGAGGCGGGCAAGGGTTACCGTGAACACCGACAACCCCAGCTTCGCGGCCTCCTTGTCTTCCCGCGACAGAGCCACACGACCCGCGGAGCCACTGTAAGAACAAGGCAGTGAGGACAGTTTTGGACCACCGCCCAGTCCCGCCTCCCCCGGCCCGCTTCGCCGCACCTGGCGCTTCCCAGCCCCAGCAGCCGGTCCACGCTCTTCTCCTCGGGGTCGCTTCCCTCTCGCTTGCAAATCTCCACGAAATCCTGCAGAAGAGGACGGGAGGTGCTCTGCCGACAGAGATGGACCTCCGCCAACCCTATGGACCTCGTGCCCACGCCTCCGCCGCCAACTTACCTCCTTGCTCAGGCCGGTGGGCTGCTTCCTCACGTTCTTGTAGCCTCTGCAACATCCGGGGAGCGAGTGTCAGGGGCACCTCGTGTTCCCTCCTGGTCTCCCCTTCTCATCCCACCCCCTCAAGACCTAAGAGTCAAGCAGCCCCGCTCCTCCCGCAAGCGAAGCCCGGCTGTCTTCATCCCCGCCCCCTAGATCTCCTTAGTCCCGCCCCACAGCCCGTAGACACTCACAGCGCGGCCAGCAGAGCCTCCCTTTCGGCCTCGCGCACGGCCGCCAGCTCCTCCTCGCGGCTCGGCCCCACGCCCGGCGTGCGACCCTTCGCGTACCAAGTGAGGTCACGGCCCTTCTGCCAGCGGCCCACAGGCGCCATCAGCGAATTCCCCAGGTAGTTTTCCCTCTGCTTGTCAGTCTTCACGTCCTCCCAATTAAACTGGTCCTGCCCGCCGCGCACACCGCCGCGGCTTGAGCCGAACATGGCGCCAAAACCGCCGCAGGACTACCACCGCCTGCGAGAGCCGGACAACCAGCCCGACTCTGCAGCAGCTCCAGACGCGGGCCGTGACGTCACGCCTCGGCCGCCTCACGCTTGCGCACCTCACTACTGGGCACGCACGTTGTGCGTATCCGTGCGTCTGTGCAGTGCAGCAGCAGGCCACGCCCTCCCGCAGTCCTTTTCTCCTACACAGTATACCACCCGCCCTCTGGTCTGCTTACGGTTCTGACACAGACTGGAAATCCAGGCTCACCTAATCACTTCAACCCCAGCCTTACCCACTGATGCATCCTGCGCCATTTCCTCGCGCGCCTGCGCACTACACCTCTCCACCTCTCCAGCTGAGCCTCGTGCGCCTGCGCCGAGCAAGCTGTTGGGCTAGAGCGCTAGCTACTCTTGTACAGTGGCAGATACTGGAAATTCTCCCTTGTACAGTGCACCAAAGTCTACCGGCTGCGGGGTGGCTTAAGAGCTCTGGAGGCTGGTTGATCACCGGTCCGGAAACTTCCTGAGGTTGGCAGGGTTGTCTCCGGCCTGTGGCCTGTGCGGATAGCTTGGCGCGCAGACCAGCATGCGAACCTCGGGGCACATGTTTGGTGCCTCCCCGAAAACCAGGCAGCGCGATGGCTACAAAGTACCGGGTTCCCAGATCACTGCACACTAAGCACAACAGTGGAGTTTTCTTTAGTGAAACGAGGGACGGAGTTCCTTCTAACACCGAGGGGCGATAAAGTCTTGACAAAAATAGGTTCGTTGCTCTGCACTGAGGCACAACATGGCACAAAAGCAAGTACAATGAAGGCCACAAGGACCAGGTAACCTTGACTCAGAGCAACCTAACGTTTTCTCTGCAGGTGCAGTTTGGCAGTGCTGCAGAGGGGCGTGCGGCATAAATGACTGGCTTTACTGACAAAGACTACGAATAACACTTAATTGTATTTTGTTCTGATTGGGCAGTGCCAAGAAAAAAGTCTGGGATAACTCAGAAACTCTATGAAAGTGAGCCTAACACTCGTTTGGAACCAACTGAATCACTGGTTGTAACTGGCAGCCATTGAATGATTTGATATCAGGAGTAAAACTGTCACAAGCCATCTACCTGGGGTCCTTCTGCAGAAGCCTGTTAGAAATCTTGGGTAAGTAGGAGAAACTCCTCCAGTTATTCCTGAGCCGTGGGATTTTTTTTTTTTTTTTAATAATCGTAAAGAACAGTGGATGACAATGGGCAACAGCAGGTGGACAGCTCCTGGCCTCAAGATTGAACTGAGACTCTCTGAGGGAAGAGAAGGGGGCAAATGTTACAGCTCTGGAGCTCTGTAGATGTCCGTTTCATTTTCACACTGCTTGGCCCTGTGGGCCATGATGTCAATATCGCACCTAGGACAGCTGCAGGCACTTCCACAGCCCAAACCAAGCAAGCTTTGCTCCTGCTTCTGTTGCTGCTGTAGCCAGCCCTAATCAACCACCACCCATGGAGGCTTCAGCTGACTGCCATCTACTTCTGTACTGCTATGGCCTCTGCTGTTGTGAGTGGGACAGCCTGCTTACATAGCCAGAAAGGGGTGTGACAGGAGTGTCTGTACCAATCATGCAGTCCCCTCATGCAAATGAAGGATTTGTATTTGCATTTGTGCCAGTCACAGGTCTTTTGCTGGGTCACCAAAGGAAGTACTGCTCCTCTGTCACAGATGGAAATGGCTATAGGATCTTCTAGAATTCATAGAGGCTTGTGATGGCAAAAAGTCCATCACAACCTGTTTTCTGGTGCAGTGTCAAGGTGAGGAGGGTTCAAGGTGATCAGTGCTAGTATGAAGGCAGCCTAGCTGCCTGCCGGCAGTTCTTCCCTCAAGGCAGCCAGAGTCCCAGGAAAGGGCCTAGTGTCTGTTAATTAAGGGGTTAACTCTCCCCAACCTCCAACATCTCAACATATTTATTTTATTTTATTTATTTATTTTGGCAGTACTGGGATTCAAACTCGGCGTTGCACTTTCTCGGCAGATGCTTTACTGCTTGAGCCACACCTCCCGCCTCGCCTTCAGCACATTTAAAGAAAAAAAAATTAAAGGATGTTTGCAATAAAGACTTATCATTAACATTAGTAGTGCTTTAATAGTGTGTGACAGTACTCTAACAATGTCCTGATGGCTGAGGGAAAGGTGGGTCCCTATCATCTTTTCTTTTTTTGGCAGTACTGGGGTTTGAACTCAGGGCATCACACTTGACAGGTGCTGGGATCTCAAGGGTCCCTGACCAGAATGGACCTAAGGAAGGACTGAAGACAGGAGACACATGAAAGGACTCACTCACTCAGGAAGGGAATGATGAGACACATGACCAGAAGGCTGGTGACCTAACTGGCAAATTTTTATTTTTGCATCAGGCTTTTTAAGCAGTATAAAGCAGGAAGTTATACAATGCAAGAAAGAACTTCTATTCCTGGGAAACAATGTCCTTTACCTGAAAAACAGTGTTCTTGCTCCAATCTCCTAGGTTACACAAGCGAAACTCAGACCCTTCTAGTTTCAATGACGACACCCAAACCTCCCTGTTTTCATCTAGCTTCACTTGGTTTCACATACATAAAACTCGGGTCTGGTTGCAAAGGGCTTGTGCCCTGTTTCTGACCTTTCATAAACAAATACCTTCAGGTTAATATTTCTTTTCTCCAGACAAAGGGAGCCACTCCATGTTTCCTCAAAACCTCAGTGAGAGACATGGTACACTTGCAGTTTCTGACCTTGTCAGGATCCTGCTAAGATGCAACGACCTTGTCAGATTGCAGCTCATGGCTCCCAACAGACAGGCAACCATTCTACTGCTTGAGCCACACCTTCAGCCTTCCAACAATCTTCAAAATGAGTAAATGCACTTAATTGTAAGAATCAGCTTAGATTGGGTCTTTTCTGTCAAAGGATTTAATCAGTAACCACCACTGTTACAAATGCTAGTCTCACTAACTCGTTTCCCACTGTTGGAATTAATAACCCTCCAGTGCCGAAAATAGACACACAAGAGACAGAAAATCTTGACAAGGCAATTTCTCTTGATCAATATGGGGCAAGCATGTGCTCACTCCTGCTAAGCAAACATGCAAGGACAAAATGAGTGGCAGTGGCTCTTCCTTATATCCTCACCTGGGATTTGTCCAGGTCAAAGGTTCATAGTCTCTCTCAATTGGCTAAAAGGCTTGGGGGATGGGTTATGGCATATAGTTTGGCAGGCAGTGGAGTACAGGAATCTGGAAGAAGAAGCAAGGACCCTTTAAACATGCAAGTCACCGGTGACCTGAGGAATTTTTAAGTAATCTAAGAGTGTAACAAATACTTTGATAGAAAAGATCATTTTTCTTCCACCATACCGTCACTTCATAGACTCTGCTTAACCTGATAAAAGTTTCTTTTAAGAACAAAGGGTCATTATCCTCAGTCAGACAAAATTCCACTAGGTCCCTGGTTCCAGAGCTGCTAACCTAAAACAGTTATTGCTTCCCTGAACTTTTAAACTTCATTGTCTTCAAAGCACTCTCCCAAAGTTCCCTTTCCAATTAGCCAACCCCTTAGACTGTGAACCCAAAACCTCCCCAATTCAGGGGAGGGGCAGTATTACATTAGAGATAAAACCTGAGTGGACTTCCTGCCCAGTGTGCTTGCTATTTGTCTGTGGTGCACCCTTCCGCAGAAGTAAATTTTGCCTTGCCTGTTGACTTCTAAGTTGTATGGGCTCTCTCTCATGATACCCCAGTATCTTAAAGATATTTGTAGCAACATGGGGGCCCACTTTGGATTTTCATGTCACTCAGTGAGCCCTGGAGATCCCCTTCCTCAGGGGAGATGTGTCCCACCACTTTCTTTTTGCAGCAGCCTTAGGGCTAGGGGAATCTGGGGCGACCAGGTTAACTGTGCACAGACCAAGGTAAGAAAGACAAGTACTGCTTTGGAGGTCGGGACATCCTAGAGGCTGTGTGGGCATGACTGGGATCATGAGGTCGAGGAAGATCTTTGGATAGAATATAAGAAACCTCTGATACAGGGGGTTGAATATTCTCCCAAGTGTAAGGAACTGCCAAACAAAGACCACACCACATGTAGAAAGAGAATTTATCGGAAGAACAGAGTGCTGGGCTGACTCAGGTTCAGAGTGCAGCAGCTCAGCTGGAATGGGTAGTGGGCTTTATAGGAGGGGCCACACCAAGGGGAGGGAGGGTGTTCCTCTCAGAGAACAGCTGGGCCACTGGCCTCCATTTATCTGTGATCACCAGATAGAATGGGTTGACGTGCATAGCTAGTTGAGAAGTGGGAAGTTCCTGCGGGTTTGCAAGCAGGGAAACAATCAGGGGAGTTTTGCAAGTGGTCATAAATCAGGGAGGTCTGGTTTCAGTGTAAGCCTTGGGACTCTCTGCCTGCCCCAAGAATGCCAGGGACCTAACGTTCCAGCCTTTTGTTGGTAATATGGGCGCCGTTTGTTCTAGCTACTTCATGCTGAGTGAGGGCATCATTGGGGGGTGGGGGGAATCCAACCAGAATTTTGGAAATTTGTGAGGTCCCCATGAGTGGAGGTAGATGGTTTTTCCCAGGCTTCATTTGCAGACAAGGCCAGTTGTTGGTAGGCCAGAGAAGGTTGTAGTAGCACCTGGTGGGAAGTCTGTCTGTTGAGCTCCCCAAATAATCCTGGAGGCATCTATGGTTAAAAAGCATTTTCCTGGGTTAGGGGTTTGTATTTCCATAGCATCATTACATGTGCAGCCATTTTTATTTCTATAGTAGCCTCTATGAGGGTCCTAATAGATCGTATAACCAAGGGAAGTAAGCAGGGAAGTATTGTGCATGCTCCCAGGATTAGGCCCACTGCCCCTATCAATGTTTTAAATCCACCTATGACAGAAAACCATCCTCCAAACAAGCCATTGGGATCCCATCCTTTCCAAGTCTGGACAGGGACATGGGCAAGCTTTGTCATCCTATCTGCAATTTCCTCTATGGCTTTTCCTTCATCATCAATCTGCAGGCAGCAGTTGCTCAGGTTAAATTTTCCACAAACTTCTCCCTCAGAAGCTAGCAAATAGTCTAAAGCCAAGTGGTTTTGATAGATAGCATTGTGCATCTTAGTGTTTTGCTTTGCCAGCAAATTGAGGGCTCTTGTAGCTTTATTAGTTATAATTTCGACAACAGCCTGCAGCCTGATGATGTGGTTGAACATGTATATATGGGTATGGTAGCCCCAGGACCCATCCTCTGTCCAGGTGGCAGGACCATAATACTGGATGATTCA